TACAAGATCTTGTCGATACCTGGGCTTGTGAGGGAGAACTCGAAGACGTCAGAACAGACCGAGGTGTTGAAGTAGGGATGTCTGAGCATGGAAAGGGAGTGCTTGATGTGTTGATCTTTTCTGAGAAGAACGTGGTGGTGGTGAAGTATCATCAGGCAATTGTCGTTTAGGAGTGGGACAGGAGTTGGTCCGACGTGAAACGGGCTGGCGATTCGAAAATTGCCGCACCGTAGAGGGAGAGGCCGGAAGCATAGTCAAAGGAGGGCGGAGGTCAGACTAATCGAAGGAGTCGGTCAAAACCCCAGTACCTGAAGCGGGTGAGGAAACAGCACCAGCAAGAGGTACAGGGGCATCAGGAGTGTCCGAAGAGTTATCAAAAAACGAGGCAGGGTCAGAATGGGGTGCGGTATCAAGAAGGGGCCTGGGGGTAGTAGGTTCAAGGACTGGATTCTCCATGGTTAGGTTACTTTTCTTTTTGTTTTTAAGAAAAAAAAAAAAGAAAATAAAAAAAGAATGAAAAAAAAGGGGGGAGTGGGGAGGAATAGTTCCCAGGAGGAATGAAAGGGCTGGAATCTCCCTCCGCACCAGAAGTAGAGCAGATGCAGCATGGAAGCCGTGCCATACCCTAGCTTTCATGCCAGTAAACCAGCAATCCGGGATAGCAACCTCACATTTGCCGAGCTACCTCGGTGGACAAAAGAGAGGGCGGCCGGATATCTGCCACAAAGCATACCTCCTTCGGCCACCACCCCCGGCATCCGAAAGGTGGCTTCCAGATACACCCGTTGCCCGAAAGACACCCTCCAGGATACCGGAGAGGGATCGGGACATCCCCAGGCGATCCAGATTCCACGGCAAACTACGCCACTGCCAAGAACCTCAACGGAATAGGATGGACCCCGGTACCCTTTCCCCTACCTAGAAACTAGCGCGCCTGTGGGTAAAATCCCAAAGGCCAAAAAGAGGAAGGGCAAAAGGGAGGGATGGGGAGGAGGAAAGGAAAAAGGGGAGGATGGGATAGGGAAGGGGGGAATGGGGGGTAATTAGGTTCGGTCTGAGGAAGGAGACCGACAGGTCTAATTCCTCAGATCAAGAGCCCCCCCCCCCCTTGAAGAGGAAGAAGCCTACAGTATATGCAAAACATTTCAATAAAGATACCCAATTGTTGCACACGTGTCTCACTCCTCACAATCTTCCTGAAAACTGCTTGATGCTATAACTGCCTGAACCTCCTTAAAACCCTAGCCCATCATTCATGGGGGGACTTGTAAGCATGCCCTTCTTAATCTTCATTCCTCCCTAATCTTATTTAAATTGAACTACAGTAACCAACTATTACTCTTCCCAAAGTTTCTCCCAATTTATCATTATCATGGGTTATCTTTCAGTTATAGGGCTTTTCATTCTTCCCCAACTGAGAGCCTATACACAGATGATTGCTCCATCTTTGCAAGAACAGCACGATGCCCACTGTCTCCGTTATTTTATCCATTCCAACGACTTTCATGATCCTACTCGTCTCTCACCCTACATTAAGACTACAAATATTTTAAGGTAAGTAATGAGTTCTATTGCTGACTTAATATGTTAGTGTATACTTGTTATCTGGCATTTATATGTATTTTTATAAGTGGAACAAAATGGCATTCTACTCTCTGGTGATAGCCTGGAACCTAACCTGTCATACAAGTGGTGCCCTGTATTTACTGTGCCCCTTCCTTCTGAATTTGCTCTCTGCTGTCTTCCATTAACCCTTTGAGGGTCTGTCCCGTAATTCTACGGCTTTGAAACCGGGGTCCAAGCCGCAGTTCTACACCATGAGTTCAGCTCACTCAGATAAGCTGCGAGTGGTAAATTTGGACCTAGATGAGAGAATGGCTCAACATGATAAGTGTGTACCATATAAAACATCCTGTAGCATGCAGTGCATGAAAAAAAAACTTTTTTTTGGATTAAAACAGCAACTTCACAGTGTATTTTTGTATGGTTTTAACTGTTGTATTAACAGTTTCTTGGTCTCATTTGATAGAATGGGATATATATTACAGAAACAGAGATGATTGATTTTAGTACTAAAAATAGAGTGAAACAGCTCAAAGTAGCAGAAATGTTCAATTTTTGCAGCCGTTTTTCTAAGTAAACAAATGACACGCGTCCAATACACATCAACTGGTGGGTCTAATATACGTTCACAACTGTGCTGATATTGTTTATACATTATATTACATAAGAGTAAATCTTCTATTTTTTGGTGTGAATAAAAATTATGTGAATAAAAATAAAAAATGGAATTCATCTGTAAAGCCTGAAAACCTAATAATAAATAGAGGAAATGTTATTTTAGTGCCAGGAATGCCTGCATTGTTTATTCTGGACCCTATTGTGAAATTGGAATGTTTTGAACTTTATGTGAAACTGGCCAAATTACCAATTTCTGATCACTTTACTAGGTAGTTGAAATAGTTATTGGGCACTTTCTTGTGCTCAATCAACAAAATAAAAGTAATACTAGTGAAATAGCTAAGAATTTGGTCAACTGGAATAATATAATTTGCTTAAAATGGGAGTCAAAGTGGGCAAAATTGCAGATGTGTAAATATCGTTGGCGCACCAAAATTCGCGTTAGCGTAATTTTATATTAAATTAAATTGTATTACCATCAGAAATAGATTTTACCATTTCATAAAATATATTTTTCTACATTGCTGGAGCCTGTGGACAAGTTTCAGATTGGGGGCCTGGATCCTGAAAGGGTTAATATGCCTGCTCTTTACATCAGCCTACCTCTAACTTTTCTTTCATCCTTTGTAAGGTCCCAAAAACCTGTGCATGCTCTTTCCCCACTTCCATGTACAAAAGCAGTGTACACCAATGGCTCTAAATCCCCTGATGGTGTTGAGTAAGCATCAATTTTTCCTGGCAAAATCATCCAGGGTCATTGATTAGACTCGGAGTTTTCACAGCCAAGTTATATGTAGTTCTCATGGTCATCATACACATTGTTTCAATGTCCACCTCATCATTTGTAGTTATTTTAGACTCCTACAGAGCAGTACAGGCTATCCAGAAATTTGATTCCCCTCATGTATATAACTAAGTGCCCTGCATTTCTTGTAAATACAGAGATACCATTTTTTTCCAAGTCTCTGGACACAATAAGATTTTGTTGCATCAGCCACCCAGGATAACTGAAGTCAATACATCATCGAGGACTATGATACACATCACATCCAAAGATGCACACATCTAGAGATACACGCACACATCCAGAGATTTATTTTATTATTATCACGCTGGCCAATTCCCACCAAGGCAGGGTGGCCCGAAAAAGAAAAACTTTCACCATCATTCACTCCATCACTGTCTTGCCAGAAGGGTGTTTTACACTAGTTTTTAAACTGCAACATTAACACCCCTCCTTCAGAGTGCAGGCACTGTACTTCCCATCTCCAGGACTCAAGTCCGGCCTGCCGGTTTCCCTGAACCCCTTCATAAATGTTACTTTGCTCACACTCCAACAGCACGTCAAGTATTAAAAACCCTTTGTCTCCATTCACTCCTATCAAACCACTCACGCATGTCTGCTTGAAGTCCAAGGCCCCTCGCACACAAAACCTCCTTTACCCCTCCCTCCAACCTTTTTCCCAGGCCTACCCCCCCCTTCCTTCCATACAGACTGATACACTCTTGAAGTCACTCTTTCGCTCCATTCTCTCTACATGTCCAAACCACCTCAACAACCCTTCCTCAGCCCTCTGGAAAACAGTTTTTGGTTTAATCCCGCACCTCCTCCTAACTTCCAAACTACGAATTCTCTGCATTATATTCACACCACACATTGCCCTCAGACATGACATCTCCACTGCCTCCAGCCTTCTCCTCGCTGCAACATTCATCACCCATGCTTCACACCCATATAAGAGCGTTGGTAAAACTATATTCTCATACATTCCCCTCTTTGCCTCCAAGGACAAAGTTCTTTGTCTCCACAGACTCCTAAGTGCACCACTCACCCTTTTCCCCTCATCAATTCTATGATTCACCTCATCTTTCATAGACCCATCCGCTGGCACGCCCACTCCCAAATATCTGAATACATTCACCTCCTCCATACTCTCTCCCTCCAATCTGATATCCAATCTTTCATCACCTAATCTTTTTGTTACCCTCATAACTTTACTCTTTCCTGTATTCACTTTTAATTTTCTTCTTTTGCACACCCTACCAAATTCATCCACCAATCTCTGCAACTTCTCTTCAGAATCTCCCAAGAGCACAGTGTCATCAGCAAAGAACAACTGTGACAACTCCCACTTTATGCGTGATTCTTTATCTTTTAACTCCACGCCTCTTGCCAAGGCCCTCGCATTTACTTCTCTTACAACCCCATCTATAAATATATTAAACAACCACGGTGACATCACACATCCTTGTCTAAGGCCTACTTTTACTGGGAAATAATTTCCCTCTTTCCTACATACTCTAACTTGAGCCTCACTATCCTCGTAAAAACTCTTCACTGCTTTCAGTAACCTACCTCCAGAGATACACACATCATTTAAGAACACCCAAAACTGCCAACCAGAACTCCAGAGAGCAGCTCAACAAATTCCAAGATACAGATTACTCGACAAATACTACCACCGCTGAAGACCACAATGGAATAAGACAATGATCCTCTCCAACCTAGGAGCTATAATTTTCAGGGGATACATCTCAAAGGTTGAATGGATAGGAAAGTCAGAAAGATGGGGTGGAAAAGGAATTTAGTCCCTGGTTCAAGAAAGCAGACAAAATGTTCCAATTCTTTAGACGATGAGCCTCTTCACCACATCAAGGAACCTCTACTGCACTTCTCTAGGTAACTTTGGAAAGATCAACCTCTAGTTGTCCATCACAAACACCCCCAATGTACAGATAAATTGCAGCACCAAAATTTCCTGGAGTACAAGAAGTCATACTGTTTATTATGTTACAGACATTACTAAACAATTTTTATCGTCAAATATTTTATTACTATAAAAATAAACAAATACAGAAATTTTTAAAATACAGATATTTAGGAAATAAAAGACAACACTAAGTGATGTAGAAAATATGAATGCTAAATACCAACTGGGTGTCAATGTTTGTTATGATGCTATTTACAAATGGAAGAAAAAGTAATATAATTATGTGTAAAATGCTATACAATACCAGTAATAAAGAGTATTTGATTCTCATGCTTTGCCATAATGCTAAGTACTTCAGACACACAGACCAAAGGTAGGTAACCATCCAACGTAAGAGAAACTAAAACCTCATATTTTGCAGTCTGGTAGGATTACTGCCATTTTCTTTCCACAATCAATATTCATGATGGCAGGCAACTCATGCAAACATTACTGTGTGTTTATTTTCACTGACCCAAGTGGTCAGCTACATGTTTTTCTGTGTAGCAATTGAAACATTTTGATAATTACTTATAAATTTAAGACTTTTAACTACTAAATAAAAAAAACAATTTCATCTCCCTGCAGCATTCATGGGAAATATTTTTTTATTTAATGAAAAAAAATGTACCAAGAAAATAATAAAGCAATGAGGTGACTTTCAACATGCTCAATTTCTGCAATCACAATACATATAACATTCCACTATATTTCAAACCACAATGTAGACAGAATCCATAAACCCTGATTAATTGAGCAATTAAAATATTTGCTATATATCTGCTATCCATTAAAATCTGTGAGGTTTATGACTAGGTTTAAGGGGAGTTGATGACATTGATGGATTAGCAGTAACATTAAAAGAATTTTCCTTATCACTAAGAAATCTAGTAGTATCATTCAGACGACTTGATCCACACAGTTTGGCTATCTTCTCCTCCAGTCTTCTGACATTCTTGCGCTGCCGTTCAGTTTCCTGCCGTAGCTTGTACACCTCCTGAAAAGTAATTTTTGGGGGGTAAAATTATGTGGTAGTGTTAACATACAGTGCTTCAGATCATGAATTTTACAAGAGATTAAGGGAACTATCTTACAGCTTGTAAAAGTGAATTAATTACTATACTTGTGGGGTAAAATCTTATCTCACTTACGTCAAATAGCATCTGTTAGTTGTTAACCCTCTTACTGTTGTGACCGCTGCTCACAAACTTGCTCTCAGTGTCAAAGAATTTAAAAACAAAAATATTATGAAATGATGGAGAATCTTTTTCTTAAGGTAATGAAACCAAAAGTACGAAATTTGATGGAAAACTTATGAAATTACACACTCGTGAAGTTAGTGGTCTTGGCTATATTTACGCATCGGCGATTTTACCCACTTTCAACCCTATTCTTGGCCAATTTCATTGTTCCAGTTGACCACACTCATAGCTATTTCACTAGAACTCCTTGTTTTATTGATCAAGTACAATTTTAACTTCCCAATAAAGTTATCAGAACTTGGTAATTTGGCCAATTTCATACACAATTCAAGGAAGGTCAATTTCAAAATAGGGTCCAGAATTAACAATGCAAACCTTCCTAGCACTAAAATAACATTTTTCTCTGCTCGCTAGTCACATCTCCAGGCCCATCTAATATTGTGCTTGCTTTCCATTTAATTTTTATTCACACAAAATATAAAAGATTTACTGTTAAGCAGATTACTGCATTATAAAAATTATATAATATCAGCACATTTGTAAAAGCATATTTGAACCACCAGTTGATGTGTATTGGACACATTTTGTGTCCAATACACTTAGGCAAAAATCGAACATTTCCGCTACTTTAACCCCTTGACTGTCGCAACCCCCAATCCTGAGGTGTCTCCTGGTGTCGCAAAATTTCAAAAAAAAAAAAAAAAAAAAAAAAAAAAAATAAAAATGATAGAGAATCTTTTCCCAATTGTAATGACACCAAAAAAAAAGAAAAAAGAAATTTGATGGAAAACTGACAGAATTACGCTCTTGTGAAGTTAGCGACTTTGGCAATATTTACAAATCGGCGATTTCGCCCACTTTGAGCCCTATTTTCGCCTAATTCCATTGTTCCAGTCGACTAAACTCATAGCTATTTCTTTAGAATTCCGTTTTATCTATCGATTGAGTACAAGAAACTGCCCATTTACCAATTTCAACTACCCAATAACGTGGTCAGAAATTTGCAATTTGGCCAATTTGATGAAAATTAAAAAATATGACAATTTCAAAATATGGACCAGAATGAACAATGCAGACATTCCTGGCTCTAAAATAACATTTTCTTTGTTCATCAGTCATGTCTCCAGGCCCCTCTGATATTACTCTTGCTTTTTATTTTGAAATTTTATTCAAACAAAAAATAGAAGATTTACTGTTATGCAGACTACTGCAATATTGTAATAATTGTATAAATAACATCAACCCATTCATGACTGCATATTAGAATGGCTAGTTGGACATTTATTGGACAATGCTGTCATTTGTTTATTTTTGAACATCGGCAAAAATCAAACATTTCCCCTACTTTGAGCTCCATTTCTAGGTTCTTTTGATAGTAAAATCAATCAAAATCATCTCTTTTTCCATAATATGTTTTCCATTCTATCAAATGAGACCAAGAAAACGAGAATACAACCATAAATACTATACGAAAATAGACCACAAAGTCGGCATTTTAATTAAAAAAAAAAACGGTCCGAGTTTTTTTTTCTCATTATGCACTGCGTGCTCCAGGATTTTTTTTGTGGTGCACACTGACCACACAGACCCATTCTCTCACACGTGGGCCTACCAGCTTTCTCCTCCTTGATTTGAAGCCGCTAGAATTTATGAGTATATGTATATACTTCAAACATGGTACCTCGTGAGACATATATATACGGCCGCAACAGTCAAAGGGTTAATTTCTAGGTACTCTTAGTCCGTAAACCATTCAAAATCATCTTTCTGTAATATATGGTACAGTCTATTAAACGAGATCAAGAAAATGAGAACACAACCATCAATACTATACGAAAATACACAGCAAAGTTGTTGTTTTAAACCAAAAACATGGTTTGAATTTTTTTTTTTTGTCTCATGCAATGTGTGCTGCAGGATTCTTTTTATGCTGCACACACTGACCACTCAGACCCATTCTCTCATATGTAGGCCTCCCAGCTTTCTCCCACAAGATTAGAAGCTGCTAGAATTTTGGTGTAGTATTACACAATCAACACTGGCCTGCAAGCCGTAATATTATATGAAAGGGGGTTAACCCTTTAACTGTCCAAATGTAGATAGACTACGTTTTGCCAATAGCGCTCATGACGACCAATGCACTATTTTTCTTGCCTTCAAATTTGGCAACAGAGGCCTGATAGGCCTATGCAGCATAAAATGGGTCTTAAACACTCCAAGTGTGTGCAGTATTAAAAAAAAAAAAAAAACTGGGACACTTAGTACCTTGTGGGAGCACCAGTTCAATCGAGTGCCAGATATAGCAAACTGTGTGGCAAACTCCAGGGATTCACTAATGCCATGTCACATTAACAATGCTTTTTCAAGGAAAGTGATGTTGGCCAGAGTTTATTGACTCAGAGGGATATGGTCACAAGTGGTCTAGAATACATAAAAAAAACCTAGATAACTCATGTGCAACATTTGTGCCACAGCATTTCAATTTTGATGCAACTGGTAGTGTAATCCTGCCAAAATGTCCTATCACCTCTGTCCTAAGTAGAGAGAATGTTCCGCAACATGTGTTAATGCATGTTAATTAAGCTGGCTGGCTGGCTCTGTGTCTGCCTCTGTCTCAGAGAGCCACTCATGAACCAGAATCAAGGACTAAGCAAGTTCATTTAGGCACATATACTCATAAGCACAGTTATCATACTTAATATAAATTACATAGCATAACCCCAAAAATGCTAGACTAAGTTCTATAATGTGCTTACAGACATGAGGCATAAGCCTGGCTGGCAAGTTATACACATTTCGGCCACAGTTCTATTTTTCAACTTGTTCAGATGTGATGATTCTTCAAAATGTGTAATATCTGATGGTTCAAGAGCGGCTCTCAGAAAAACAAAAATATTTGGTGTGGAACAGTGAGAACAAATAAAAAAATGCCAAGATTCACTGGGAGCAGTGCACGACCAGCAATATTGAGTGACTGTACTTTCAGCAGTGTAGAGTGACACTAGTCTGACAATGTGCTTCAAGAAGTTTTATATACTCTAGCACATCCAACAACATTGCTGGAACCTATAAATACTCTCTATATATTTCTAGTCATTATTATGAGACTAAGGCAGGCAAACATGTTCACCGGTCACTGTGTTTGTGACATTATTTCAGTACCAAATATTAGTGTCAAAACGAAGATTCACTATAAAATCACAAACTGCTAAAAATTGTAATAATCAGAACATAAAAAAAAAAGGTGAGTGGTGCATTGAGGTATATGTGGAGACAAAAAATGTTATCTATGGAGGCAAAGAAGGAAATGTATGAAAGTACAGTAGTACCAACACACTTGTATGGATGTGAAGCTTGGGTTGTAAATGCAGCAGCGAGGAGGCGGTTGGAGGCAGTGGAGATGTCCTGTCTAAGGGCAATGTGTGGTGTAAATATTAGGCAGAAAATTTGGAGTGTGGAAATTAGGAGATGTGGAGTTAATAAAAGTATTAGTCAGAGGGCTGAAGAGGGGTTGAGGTGGTTTGGTCATTTAGAGAGAATGGATCAAAGTAGAATGACATGGAGAGCGTATAAATCTGTAGGGGAAGGAAGGTGGGGTAGGGGTCGTCCTCGAAAAGGTTGGAGGGAGGGGGTAAAGGTGGTGTTGTGGGCGAGGGGTTTGGACTTCCAGCAAGCGTGTTAGATAGGAGTGAATGGAGACAAATGGTAAATGGGACCTGACGAGCTGTTGGAGTGTGAGCAAGGTAATATTTAGTGAAGGGATTCAGGTAAACCGGTTATTTTATATAACCGGACTCGAGTCCTGGAAATGGGAAGTACAATGTTGCCTGCACTCTAAAGGAGGGGATTGAGATATTGGCAGTTTGGAGGGATATATTGTGTATTTTTTATACATATATACTTCTAAACTGTTGCATTCTGGGCACCTCTGCAAAAACAGTGATTATGTGTGAGTGAGGTGAAAGTGTTGAATGATGATGAAAGTATTTTCTTTTTGGGGATTTTCTTTTTTGGGTCACCCTGCCTCGGTGGGAGACGGCCAACTTGTTGAAAAAAAAAAAAATTACAACTAAAAGAAAAAAGTAAAGGTATATATTGGCACATGAGCAGCTAGTGTCAACTTCACCACCTTTTTTTTTTTTTTTTTTTTTTGTCTTATTACCATGAAAACTGCCCCGTTAAAAAAAAAAAATCTAAATTTTCAGAGCACTAGCAGTAAAACGTAGATCAATGGTTTGTCAGTTAACCCCTCAACTGTTCAAACATAGATCTACATTGTTACCGCTAGCCCTTAAACACGACATCTCCACTGCCTCCAGCCTCTTCAGCCCTCTAATTATATTTTTGGTAATTCCACACCTAATCTCCCCACTCTAAATTCTCTGCATAATATTCATTATACAGTGGAACCTCAGTTTTCGTATGCCCTGGTTTTCGTAAGATTCGGTTTTCAACGACTTTTTTTGTCGAAATTTTGTCCCAGTTTTTGTACATCCATTCAGTTTCAGAGTTGACAATACACACCTCCTTGATGATAATCGGTAGTATTTTCAGATTGATCAAGACTCCTAACTTTCCTTTACAAACTATATATAAGGATGCAGGAAGCTTCCAACTAAATCCCGTGTGACACCCACTCATAATCTTAGTGAGAAAAACCAATGATATTCCATTACTGATAGTTGAATCTTTACTTTCCTTGTAATGCCTATATTTTGCCATAATGTATTCAGTAAATTTTAATCGCCATAATACCATATATATAGACCTGCATGAGAATAATCAACTTCTGAACAAGGCATGGTCCTTAATTTTGAGTTTAAAGTGTTCAGAACTATACTTTCCCATCGACACCCACATTACAATTTGAGAAGTGTTCCTGAATAATGTTCTGCATCTAATTTATTTTTTAAAAATGACATTAAGACAATGTATATACTGGTTTCTGCCAGAAATGGATGCCTCTCCCTCCCATCACATTACACAACACTCAATATGCTTTACACATTTCTCCCCCTTAACTAACTGTTATGATGAGTGCAACACATGGTAATAGTGGAGTAGAGGGCAAATGTATTTCTAGGCCCTGATGGGTGAGGGTACTGTCTACATGGCAGGGCAAGTTGTGTGAACAAGTTCATGCCTGTGTGGACATAACCACTTATACATGGCAACATTGCTTCAACTCTCAGCCATGCAACATAATTATTAAATCTAGTTACTGCCCAATCTCTACCAAATAAATGTCTCATGACGTGTATAAAATTAACACCAAAAATATTGAGGTACATACGATAAAAAATGTAAAATAATATTTAAATATTCACATCAGTAGTGCAGAATTAAGAAATTATTTGGTTCAAAAGTATTCAATTTGTAAGTGTGGGTGTTCCAGAGTTAAATATTTCATGTAATATAGCATTTTTTATGCAGGATGTAATCTTACTTCTTTAAGCTGGCTGTTCTCAGTCTTGAGCTTCAGAACATGTTGGATCTTCTGTTTGTGATTCTGATGACCCAGGAGAGTGGCATACTGCTTACTCAGTTTCTCAGCTTCATCAATGGCAGCAGAATTACGCTCTAGTAGCATTGCTTTTTCCACTTCATAGGCATCCAGTTGTTCCTGATGACAGTTTAATATTTGTTATTAAACAATAAGTAAATGTTATTGGCCATGCAACAGCTTACTTCTTAACTCATGTTAATACTGCAAGTAATAATGGAGTTAACTTATCAGTAGTTTGAGGTCTTGAATCTAGTGTAGTGAAAGATTTCCAAGAGGTGGCTACCTGTAGAATTTAAAACTAACAAATGAAGACACAATTTGAATAACAGTACTGTAATGAATTCCATATGGCAGTGTACCACTCACACGAGAGACTGACCTTTACAGGTTCAGTACTAACTAGGTGTAGGAAAGATTTGCTTTACTAAGTGCATATAAATAGCAACATGAAACTAAGAGGAAAATTAGAGGTAAGGGGGTATGATGTAGAGTAATTATAAACTTTACAAATATTAACCAACCATATATCTAGCTGCTGTTAATGTCTTAGGTGATTTGCCTGAAGAAAGCTACCAGTAGGCTACTTGGATACATTTGTTCCTTGATCTTAAGACTGTCTTGACTACACATATTCATGTAGGTTTACCAGGTAAGGTTCTGACCCGGAGCTTCTCCATATGGCGACCCGGGAGATTGACTATACACAAATTCATACTGAACCAGGTAACTACTTTGTACAGAACATGGGGCAACCCATCACCTGGAACTTGCCACTACTGAAACAAGCTCTGCCTTATGGTCATACTAACAAATACCTGCATCACTCACACTAAAGCATGTGTTTTGTTTTCTTTACAAAGAACTAGAACCACTAGTTTAAGAAGTGCTTTAAACAAATGTTTAACAAAATCAAATTTACACTACCATTATCAACTTGTCACTGCCTGTGGCCACTTCACTGTCATATTCCAGAAACCATAACCCACAAAGCAGGTAGAACCATTCAAAATCTTATTTTTAACATTCTGTAATCCATGACATTCCGTGTCTTCAGCTGTATCAGCAAATTGAATAAGATTGGAAATATCCCCACATTTTAGTCAGGAAAGCACTATGTGAAAAAGAGTATCATTCCTTCCAGATAACAGGTCCCTACTCCTAGTATTGAACAACTCAAACTCCTCTACATGTGAAAGTGATCCAGTGTAACTGGAAATCAATTTAATGGTGGGGTAAGCAACATTATGTTTCCTTCTAAAAAACATAACTGATGGGTTAGACGAGACATTATTACTGGAGCTGTTGCAACCTGATAGACACTTAGCACTGATGAAGTCGAATTAACTACTATGAAATTTAACTAACCTTGTTTTAAAGGAAATTTTTAAAAACTTTGGACTGTTGGAACCAAAAGGTAAATCAGCACTGCATACAATGAAGCTTCCATACTACAACACACTTACAAACACCCTTCTCCTATCCTTCCCCATCACACAACACCCACTATCATCAGTTAACCAACTGTGTGGCAAGTCAGTCAAGAATGTCAGAGCAATAAAAGTACAAGTCAACACTGTATCTGGAAGTGTCTATTTAAAAAAAAAAGTTCTTAAGTGGAAGATTTACCTTATTTCTCAGATAATAAAACAACGGAAAAAAAAAAAAAAAAAAAAGGCACGGTACAGTGACTGGAACAATACACAAATAACCCACACAAAGAAGAGAGGAGCTTACGACAACTTTTCAAACCGACTTGGACCATTTACATTCAAGAAGGTGGTACTACTATTCGTCATACGAGCAGAATGGAAACCTGTTAAATCTTCTGCAGGACTGCTGACCTTTTCTCTCATGAACACTCAAGACAACAAATTTGTAATTATCTTCATTTCTTAATCCTGAAAGATTTTCTTTCCAATCCATAAGGCCTGGTCTGAGACCAGGGGAAATTAATCCTTAGAGCAAACAGATGAATGGAAATAACAGAAAACTGATATTAAGAATAGCCATTCCTCTACCATTTGTCAGCAGTGATGACTTGTTATTTCAAGTGTTTCTTGTATATCTGTTGGTGTTAGTCAACATTTGCAATCTTATTCACATGCAACACACAATTTGTCCTAGACCCTTACGTCATCATTAAAGATTCTTCTCCAAGAACTGAACTGTGAATTACAGCACTATGGGGACTTAGCACATATGCTTGACCACAAAGCTACACAACTACATAAAGTACAAGCTTCAGTTTAAGGGTATAAACTACTAATTACCAGCTTCCTACCCTCCATCTTTTCTCAGACTTCTGAACAAAATACAAAGTCAACAACTCTTGCTTAGACTTGGCCTCGTTTAATCTGTAATTTCAACAGAACATTCAACACCACAGATGACAATGGCCTTGAGGCTATATAGAAAGCCAATTTCTAGGTTGCCCAACTATGTGGAGAGGCAGAAGATACCCGAGTTATTAGACTACAAGACGCCCATCTGTTTTTTGACTTGCTTTTGAAAGTTCTCAAACAATGTATACAAGATAAATCATTACACTCAACCAAATTAAAACAGACCCAAAGGTCATCTTCCACCATGTCCCCTACATATTGCTCAAGTTACACACAAATAAGGTAATTATATAATCCTACTGACTTTTGGAAGCCAGCAGAGGTTAGGTGTAATAAACAGCAGACAATGAAAATAGTGGGGAAGATATAAAAAAACAAGAAGTGGAGAAGAGAGTACAGTGGCTACATTCTGAAAGTGGGGCATGTTGTAATTAAGTGGGTTAAAGGCAGCATTGTCTGTGCCCTCCTAGAAAGGCAGCTAGAGGTGTGGTGTTTGCACTTTCACAGTCAACCAGTAACCAAAGTCAAGCTAAGTAAAAACCAAAATGAACTTGAGAAAAAAAAGATATGTATAGATGGTCAAATACATTAAAATCTAAACACTAAGAAAAGGCATGACATGGAAGCATTCAGCATCATTTTGTCTAAAAAAAAAAAAAAAAAAAAAAAGTGGAGATATCTGTTAGCAAAAAATTTGACTGTATACTGCTCTCTTCACTTATCCTAATTTTTTCGATACAAAACAGTAATGACACCTCTCTTTCTCCACATAATTAACCAAGACTGAGTGGAAAAGCCTCATCAACTGCATTATACCACATGTCACATTTGTTTTTCCACCATCAGTTACAGGTCTTCCATCACAAATCCGGCATCATTGGGACCTGCAGTGTGCCCGATTACAGAGTAGTTAGGTTAGAAAACACTTAATAAAATTAACCAAACCATACCACGGGCAGGATTTGAACATGCAGTCAGAGTCTCAAAACTCCAGACCGTCGCGAGCTTTGAGCCTCTGACCGCGGCTTCAAATCCCGCCCGTGGTATGGTTTGTTTAAAATTAACCAATTTGACAGACGCAAAAATCAAACATTTCTGATACTTTGAGCTCAATTTCAAGGTACTTTTCGTAATGACAGCAATCAAAATCATGTCTATTTCTGTAATATATCTTCCATTCTATCAAAAGTCCAAAAAAATAAGAATACAGCCATAAAAATCATATGAAAATATACTGCAAAGAGGCGGCTAATGGCTGAGAAGTGAACTCCCTTATTTATCATCCGTCTTTTTTATTTTTGTTGTACGTTAAGAAGCATCTTTCCATCATACATTGCCCAAGTTTCAATGAGATAGCCCAACAAACAACCGAGAAAAAAAAATATTTATCAAAAATCATATATGGCAAGCCCAAGCCAGGTACTGGAAATAAGCCACTTCGTCTGACTTTTCTGGGTTATCCTAGGTTCTCTATACATACACTGCTATGTATGATAATCTACAACTGTATTTGTGTATACCTGAATAAACTTATTTACTTCTAGTCTGTCAACTGAGTACAAGAAACCGTCCATTCACTTATTTCAACTACCCAATAAAGTGGTCAGAAATTGGCAGTTTGGCCAACTTCACACAAATTTCAACAGATGCCAATTTCAAAATAGGGTCCAGAATAAACAATGCAGACATTCCTGGTATTAAAACAACATTTTCTCTGTTCATTAGTCATGGCTCCAGGCCCCTCTTACATTACTCTTGCTTACCATTTGGAATTTTTTTTCACACAAAAAAAATAGAAGATTTACTGTTATGCAGACTACTGCATTATTGTAATAATTGTATAAATAATGTCAACCCAGACTACGTATTGGAATTTGGACTGGCAGGCGGACAGGTATTGGACGGTGACGTCATTTGTTTACTCTTGACCTTCACTAAAGAACAGAACATTTTCGCTACTGTGAGCGCAATTTCAAGGTACTTTTCGTCATGAAAGCAATCAAAATCATATCTATTTCTGTAATATATATTTCATTCTATCAAATGAGACCGAGAAAATGAGAATATAACCATAAAAACATACAAAAATATACCGCTAAGCGGCCGCTAATGGCTGAGAAGTGAACTCCGCTATTTATGGTCTGATTTCTTTCATTTTTGGTGTACGTTAAGAAGTATCCTTCCATCATACATTGCCCAAGTTTGAATAAGATAACCCAACAAACAACTGAGAAAATAATAATAATATAATAAAATAACAATAATAATAATATCTTTATTTACTACACGTACATGTACAAGGTATACAGGCCTAGCTGACATCAGTGACATACTACTATATAGAAAGCCACTTGTTATACAGAGTATTTCAAGAAAATTAGGTCAGTGTCCCAGGATAACACCCACACTAGTCTGCTAACACCCAGGTACCCATTTACTGATGAGTAAACAGACAACAGGTGTAAAGAAACATGCCTAATGTTTCTACCCTGGCTGGGAATCGAATATTTACCAAAAATCATATATGGCTAACCCAAGCCAGGTACTAAAAATAAGTCACGTTGACTTTTTTGGGTTATCCTAGGTTCTCTACGCTTATGCTGCTGTGTGTGATAATCTATATAGAGAAAATAACTTTTTTGTTTTAGGTTTATGGTGCAGTATCCACATCCTCTTCATACCTCCGTTGAACTGCTCGGTGTTATGCCAAATATTATTTATTCTGGAGTATTTAACATGTTTTATGTTATTTATATTGTTTATTATGTCATATTAGATCAATTGTGATAGGCAACTAAGCTGTAGTGTTGATATTAGCGTAATAATAAAGCATATTCTGCTTCATGAGATTGAGTTCATGGCAACCAACAGTGGCTTCAAAGCCACCTTATCTTTAATGGATTATGTACTGTGTAGGTGCTTTACATAATGAGAAGCATTTCTTTTATTCATTGGAACCATGGCTAGGGCTAAAAGTAAGCAGGTTAAAACAATGGAGAAAAAGAAATTGGAATGACTTATGCAGCAAGTAGCGCCACCAAACAGTACCAGCAGGTTGGTGTGGCGACCCTAGAAATTTGAAATTATGCTAGCCAAAATTAGTGCCGAATAACTGAAGGAACCGAATAACTGATTGCCGGATTTGTGATGGCAGACCTATAATAAAAAAACTCTCTACTGTACAGTAACATCTGTGTTTAGAGAAAGCAGATAAGTTATAAAATTGGTACATTACATACATAATGGAAAGCTCTGGGCTATACATAGCACTAGTTGAGCTTATAGTTTTAATAACCCTAAATACTTAATGATAATATGAAACTATCAGTACTCTCAAAATTATCAAAATAAGAATATTAAACTATCAAACTTACTCTGAAAGGCTCAATCATATTTTCTAGATGTAGGAACTTGTCCTTCCAGGAGTTTAGCTCTTCTAGCAATGATGCATTTGTGTTTCTAAGATCTTGAATAACAGCTTCCAGAGACTGTGTCATACGGGACACTTCTGCTGTCTTTTCCTCACTGTATGTTATCTCCAGTCTGCACAAGAAAAAAAAAACAGAGGAGGATTTAAGCAAGCTTCAGATATACACATCACTTCATAAAACATTACCACATTATAAATTTTATATAAAACCTGCCCAAATTATCTACATTTTATTTTTTTTTTATTATTAATACACTGGCCGATTCCCACCAAGGCAGGGTGGCCCGAAAAAGAAAAACTTTCACCATCATTCACTCCATCACTGTCTTGCCAGAAGGGTGCTTTACACTACAGTTTTTAAACTGCAACATTAACACCCCTCCTTCATTTTATAAGCACCAAAAACAATCACAGGCATGCTTTTAAATACATTAGATTTTGCCACCAAAGTGTTAGTTTAAAGTACACCATACACCCATTCTGTAGATAGTATCTTCTATCACCTAGGTGGTAGACAGTTGGTGTGAAAAAATTAATTCAATTAAAAATGTATATTAATAGCCTATTGTTCTGCAAAGAAAGTTCATTCATCTGTCTTTTGTATTTACCAGTTACAGTAAGTAGATATGATACAATAACAACCTGCACATAGGAGAGAGCAGTTAATGATGACACTTTGGTTCTACTTGGACCATTAACAAAGTCACATTAATACAAGAGTGAGGGGGCCAGTATATAGGCAAGACGGACAGAGACAGGACCAAGAGGAAGAAAAAGTAGTGGAAGAGGTAAGGCAGGTAGTGGAAGTAATAGTAGTACTAGTATTACTGCCACCACTACCTACTTTACCTCTTCCACTACTACTATTTCTTCCTCTCTTGGTCCTGTCCCTGTCCCCTCACCTATATACATACTGGCTCCCTAACCCTTGTGTTAATGCGGCTCTGTGAACGGTCCAAGTAGGACCAAAATGTCGTCATAAGCTGCTCTCTGCGGGTTATTTATGTATTGTTCCAGTCACAGTATTGTGCCTTTATGTTCTTTTCAATCAAGACACTCATTTAACCTTCAAATCATTAGCCATGAGAGTTGCAAAACTCTGTACAGTCCAAGACAGTAACAAGCTGAACAATCACACGGTGTTAGAAGAACTGCAGGAAAACAAGGATAGCAGTGGTATCTATCCTCATTCTTAAGGAAAAATTTCTAAAAAATTGAGAACTTTACTATTACCAATAGCAATGTCAAACTATATATAATGCAGTTTCCCATCTAATTTTTAATGAACATATTTTTTTTTTAAATTCTCTGAAAGAGGAAGAAAGATACCAATGAAGCACTTCTCCAAGACACTTATCAACCATCTTCCCCTTGTGTATCTTACTGTGCTCTCCCACACTCATACTGGGAACAAAGTTAATCAGATATTACCTGGACAGTGTATTTTTGGTACTTTCCAGAGCCTCCTGGAGAGTGGAAATACTTTTAGCAGCCTCCTCGTTCTGTTTGACTAGCCGCTTCTCAAGATCATCATAATTCAAGAGGCGTTTCTCACAATCTACCAGTGCCAACTGCTTCTCTTCAAGTTTCTGTTAAGAAACTAGATAACATTATTGGAGAAAGATAACTAGATAACATTACTGGAGAAAGCCAATACTAAAAATCACAATGATATTAAGTACAGCATTTTGGTAATTAGTTAAATGAATAACACTAAACCAATGAACAGTATATTATGAAACAAATATTTGAGTAAAGTGCTGTACACACTAAACACATTTCCAACAGGGGTTCCTTCATTTACCATGGTATCAATACCATTAACATCTTCCTAATTTTATATACCTGGAATGGAAAATGAGAATATAGTTTTAAGAAACAATGTAGAGAAACCTATCAGAAGTGAACAGTAGACATCTCTTCTAAGTATCTACATAAACACTTGGTACCTGTGTGTGGTCACTGAGTAAAGAAACCACATCCAGATAAATGGCTTATGAATGTATGCACACCAACTCCTTTAGACTGGATGATAAATTTCATAATCATCCGAGTAATTATAGATAAAAGTATTTTTATCAGAAAACCTGATAATTGTGGTTGAGAAGCACTTATACTACACTTGGAAACTTCAAAATGGTTTTCTCAGATATATAAAATGGAAATAAAAGAAAATCCCAATATGTACCCCAAAATTTCACCAGGTCCATACACGAGATAATAGTAAACATGCCTTCATTAAATTATATGAAAACAGGAAACAATCACCATCATGAAAGGATGTGATTCCTAGACAAAGATCCTATAGAACCGACAAGGAAAAAACAAGCAGCAACAACTTCAATTTAAGAGAAAATAGTATTCAACCCTTTCACTGTTAACATCCCCAAAATGAAATGATGACATTCACAATTTAAAAATTCTTCTAAAATGGTAGAGAATTTCTTCCTGAAGATACCAAGAAAAATTTGATGGAAAACTTAGAGAATTATGTAGGTGCAAATTTCAGTCTGAGCATTTAAGCAAGGAAAATTTCATGCACTTTGAGTTCCATTTTTAAACCAATTCCACTGCAGTATTCAACAAATTCTTACCAATTTGCCAGTATGCTTTCCATTCTAAAGATTCAGCACAAACAGCTCATTCAACTATCAGATCTTCCCCTATGAAGTACACAGAAGTCAGTAATTTACACAAAATTCAACAATTCCGATTTAAAAACAGTCCAAAAGTAAACAATGTACGCATTCCAGCCACTAGAGCAATGTATCCTCTGTTTATTAAACATATCCCCAGGACTTGCCTATATTATACCTCCCTGCCATTTTGAACAAGTCAGAAATTTTTTACCCACTTTCTTAAATAGAATATTACCAGGAATGAATGAGCATGGTATAGCGCATCTCATTTATTGAAGACCTAGTAAAAACCCACAAAACAGACCAAGAAGAATGGGAGGGAGGGGGGGCCTTCAACCTTCCTCAGGAAAACTTAAAAATCAACCATTTCCACTACCCTGAGCCCTACTTCAAGCTGCTAACTGCCCTGAAACAAACCAAAACCTTCTACTTTAATAGTATGTCCTCTATATTATCAACCGATACCAAGACAGCCAATAAAACACCCCAAAGTTGCTATTTTAAACCAGTCAAAAGGTTTACTTTTCCCATCATGCACCATGTGAGAAAGGATTATTTTATACTGCAGACATTTACAGCACAGACTCATTCTCTCGGGTATAGGCCAAAATTTCCTGTTCGCAGCATAGATGAAGGCACTGTGCTTAAACCTTCACTGTTCATACCCCAAAATTAATATTGCTGTGATAACTTTCTTACAAAACAAAAATCTCAAATGGTAGAGAATTTTTCTGAAGGTAATGACACCAAAAGTAGAAAATTTATGGAAAACTTGCAAATTACACACATGCAAGGTTAGAAGTCTCCACAAATAACACAGCAGCAACTTCGCCTCTCCCGTTTTGCACCGTATTTTAAGCTAATTCCACTGCTCCAATTGACCAAATTCTTAGTTATTTTGCTAGAATGCCTTCCACTCTATCAACTGGACACAAGAAACTATCCTTCCAACTATTTTAGCTACACTATAAAGTGCACAAAAGTTGGCCACTTAGCCAATTTTACATAAAATGGTAACAAAAAAAAAATCCAAAATAAACAATGGAGACATTCATTGCCCTAAAACATTTCCTCTGTTCAAACCACATCCCCAGGCCTCTCTGCCACAATCAAATGATAGCAAAACACAGCCAATAAAACCATAAAACTTTCAGAAAATATTTCAGTCAGTCCTGAACCAAGCACAAGGTCTGAGTTTCGCTTTTTGCCATCAAGCACTGCAAAGGGCACAATTTTTTTTTTTTTCCTGTGCACACTCACTGCACAGATCGAGTTTCTCGTATCTAGACCAAAATTTACTGCTCAAAGCTTATCTGAGTGAGAAGAGCTCATAACTTAGATCTACACAAGAGACGCTGATGTCAATAACTTTAGTACTACATGACTGTCAATCAAAAGGTTAAAGTCTCAGATAAAAGCACACCTCCTTTCTAGTGCTCATGATCCTGATGATCATATTGTCACTCAATATAATCTTTAGTACTCCTCATGGTTGTTGCATATTTGGCTTGTGTTAGTGCTTGTGAATGTCTTAAAAGAACACCGTAAAAAATAAAATCCCAATTATCATCTTTCGTTCAATTACTGTCACACCAAAAGTCTTTCAACAAATTGGCTGTATCCTACCGAGGCAGGGTGGCCCAAAAGAAATAACAAAAGTTCTTCTTTTTTCAATTTAGTAATATATACAGGAGAAGGGGTTACTAGCCCCTCGCTCCTGGCACTTTAGTCGCCTATTACAACACACATGGCTTACTGAGGAAGAATTCTGTTCCACTTCCCCATAAACAAGAACAAGAACTAGCAAGAAAATAGAAGAAAACCTAGAGGGGTGTGTATATATATACTTGTACATGCATGTGTAGTATGACCTAAGAATAAGTAGAAGTAGCAAAACGTACCTGAAAACTTGCACGTTTATGAGACAGGAAAAAAGACACCAGCAATCCTACCATTGTGGTGTCTACTTCACACTCACCTGGCAAGTCAGTAGTACCTCGCTGGGCAGTTGCTGTCTACCAACCTACTACCTCAACACACCAAAAGTATGCTCACATAATTCGGATGACCCTCCAATTACAACATCTCCACCTCTTCTTCAGAATGCGGGCACTGTATTTTTCACTTCTAGGGCTTAAATCTAGCTAACCAGTTTCCCTGAATTCCTTCATGTCACTTTGCCCACACTCCAGCAACACATCAAACATTAAAATCTGCTCGTATCCATTCAGCAATGTAGCATGCTAACATAGGCCTGCTGGATGCTAGTTATTATTACTTAAACCACCTTTACTCTCCTTCTCCCTACCATTCATGGGATAACCCCTGCAACCCTTTACTATCAACCCAGATTTATAGGCACTTCATCTTCTCCTGCTCTATCCTCCCAAAATGTCAAAACCATTTCAACCTATTCTTAGCCCTCTGAATTAGATATTTAGTGATCCCACTCTAATTTCTATGCAACCATTTCTCTTCATGATATTCATACTCATCGCTCTGTTCTTTCCTATTAATAGTGAATATGGGAAAGAGCAAGGTGATTCAAGTATTCAAAAATATAGGCAATGAGAGACTGGATATCAGATTAAAAAAGGGGAGTATGGACGAGAATGTATTCAGATATTTGAGTGGGCTTGTCGGCAGATGGATGTATGAGAGATGAGGTGAACCACAGAGGTGACTAAAGGAAAATGGTGGGTGGTGCACTGAGACATCTGTAAAGGCAAAGATCATGAAGGGGAAATTTTTTTTACCAAAGTATAGTGGTACTAACTGATGTATGGATGGGAAACATGGGTTTTGACAGTTGCAATGAGGCAATGGCTAGAAGCAATGCAGATGCCATGTTTGAGAGCAATGATTGATGTGAAAATTATACAGAGAATTTGGAGTTTGGAGATTAGGTGATGTGGAGTTACCAAAAGTGTTATTCAGAAGAATGAGGAGAGGCTGTTGAGGTGGTTTGGAAACTTAAAGAGAAAGGGAAAAAACAGAATTCTGATGGCATATGAATTTGGGGTGGGGGAAGAAGGGGGTAGGGGTCATCTTAGAGAAGGTTGCAAGGAGTGGGGTAAAGAAGGTTTTAAGTGCTAAAGGGTTGGACATCCAACAGGATTGTGTGACTATGTTAGAGGTATGTAGAGGCAAGTGGCTTTTATGATTTGAAATGCTGTTGGTGTGAGCAGGGTAACCGAGGAAATTCAGAACTGCTAAGCCAGATTTAAGGCCTAGAAGAGAGAAGTCATGAGGGGTTGTAAAAGAAGTAAATGCTAGGGTGTTGCGGAGAGGGGAGGAGTTAAATTATGCGAATTTAAACACAAAATGGGAGTTCACAACACAGTTACTTTTTGATGATGATGATGAGCTTTCCAGAGATTCTGAAGAGTTACAAAGCTTAGTGGACGAGTTTGGGAGGATGTGTAATGGAAGAAAGTTGAAAGTGAACACAGGTAAGAGTAAGGTGATGAGGGTATCAAACAATTTAGATAAGGAAAAATTGGATATCGGATTGGAGGGAAGGAGTAGGAAGAAGTGAATGTGTTTGGATATCTGGGAGTTGACTTGGCAGATGGGCTTATGAAGACAAGGTAAATCTCAGAATTGATGAAGGAAAAAAGGTGGGGTGTTGTAATGAGGCATCTGTGGAGACAAAGAACATTATTCAGTGGAATCAACACTTATATGGGAGTGAAGCATGGGTTGTGAATGCTATAGCAAGAAGGAAGAGGAGGCTGAAAGAAGTGGAGATGTTGTGTCTAAGGGCATTGTGTGGTTTAAATATTATGCAGAAAATTCATAGTGTGGAAATTAGGAGACGTGGAGTTACTAAAAATATTAGTTAGAGAGCTGAAGAGGGGCTGTTGAGGTGGTGTAGTCATTTAGAGAGACTGGAACAAAGTAGAATGACTTGGAGTGTATAAATCTGTAAGGCAAGGGTAGGAGTTGTC